GGCGGGGGGGGGGGGGTCGCGCTATCGCGCTGCGAGCCCACAGCTTCGCCCCAGGGACGGGGAAATTTTTCCCTTAAGTCCAGACCCTTTGCGCAGGAGGAGGAAGGAAAGGCAAACCTTATGAAGACGAAGTTGGAATAGGCAAGAAATAGGCAAGAAATGTACGATCAGCCAAGGAGCTCTCTGAAAACACAGCCTGACTCTTCGAGGCTGAGCAAAAGACTGGGGAGACGCTGCGCGATACCACGTGAGGGGCGGAGCGTTTCCTCATCTAAAGCTCAGCCTGCAAGAAGAGGACTCAGAAGCACATCCCAGTCTCTGGATGCTCCGAGCGGCTCGAGGGAGAATGAGGACCCAAATTGTTGGGGGCAAGATGCTGACATTGTAAACCACTTAAGAGAGGGCTGTAAAACACTATAAAGCAGTATATAAGTCTAAGTGCTATTCCTATTGCTAAACAATGCCTCCATCAACACTTTTAGGCTTCAAAACCAGGATATTACATACAGATATACATAATCCATATATGGCTAGGATGTTTTGTTTGGCTGCATAATCCAAGACTTTATGAATTATTACAAGACAAGAGATTAATTCAATGTTTTTTTCATATTTAATATTGAAAATCAATGTGAAACTTCTCCTTTTTTTGATCAATGATAGAATGGACTGAAAACAACAGAAGGGCCTCATAGAGTTAAAAGTTGGCCTAATCAGATGGGGTTATGGACCTTCTGAAAAGAATAGAGCTGGCTACAGACATGGCTTAACTCCATCCATATTCCCCCGCTTTCTCTCCCCACTTTTCATACTATTTGGTCTTATTACATTTTTGGGGGGAAATTCAGAAGCTGGCGACACACAGCTTACTAAAGGTTCTGCCTCTAGATAGAGGTCAAAAATTTTTTTTTATGATAATCAACAGCTGTTACATTCTTTACGGACCAAACGTTGGTGAAAATGTAGTCAAGGATCTAACAGGCTGTGAACCTCTATTGGCTGAAATCCAATGAACCGTGTTAAGTGTCTTGAACGGAAGCCGATGTTTTTGGCATGTAAAATTGCTTATTCAAAGGCTATTGAGAAGCCATTTAGACTACGCTTTGGTGTTCTGTGATGAGTTCCACTGGGCACAGCAATGTTATTGGGGAGCAGAAATTATCTGAGTAACGTTTATTATCGTAAAAAACTGAAGTACTAGGCGGTGATGGGTTTCAAAGTAGGTTACCACCGGTTCAGTGGGCGTGGCTTGGTGGGCACGCTTATCGCAGGCACACACTTTGCGTGCACATACGTGCATGCCAAACACACGCACGTGCTCACACTTTGTATGCACGTGCGTGTGCGCCAAATGTGCACTTTGCGCACGCGCAGAGGCTTTCCGACTCACCTCCTGCAATCCTGCACTCTCCCTGTCGCTTCAAGCAGCTGCCATGAGGGCCATCTGCTGTGCCACGCAAAGCAGCTGCGCTTCAAAAGCAGGGAATAAAGGCCAGTATGGGAGCCTGGGCAGGTGGGCGGGCCCAACTGCAGCTCCTCAGAGAGAACCAGTCTGTTCTTCGCTGAACTTTGGTGCTACCGGTACGCCAAAACCGGTAGAATAACACCACTGGTTCCATTCCCCCCCCCCCATTCCTCCAGAACCAAGAACTTCCATGCCAACCCTGTCCTTATTTTATCCCTGTATCTGCATATAACTCCAGAAAATGTATTTAGACCTTACCTTCCCTAATTTACTTTTCAGCTTTCGCTCCTCCATTCTTTTCTTTAGCATCTCTACGTCCTCTTTACTGCCATTAAGGACAATCACATCGTCATCTTGAAAGGGGACCCCACACTTTAATAAGAAAAAAAAAGAAAAAGAGAAAGTGGCTGTTTATGATACAGTACAGTTCCAAACAGAAGCTAAAAAGTAAAAAAAAATGTTATTCATACTGCAAATATTTTATTACCCCCCCCCCCAAAACCACAAAACCACCTAGATTTAAATGTGTACTTTTATCACAGATCTGTAATTCAGGTGTCTGTTTTCTCTGCCATGATTAATTCGTCAGGCAAGCCACGTAACTTTTTAATCATTTTCATTCATTCAGCAAGGATATTTAACAGGAAATGCCTGTATTCTCCGCCCCTCAAACTTTATTAAAATAAAGCTTTACACATAAAATAAACATAGCGAACATAATTCATCGAACAAAGTCATTGGGGAAAACTGGATCCACTTAACGACCATGTGATTCACTTAAGTAAGATAAAGGTGCGTTCCTATCAGACTTCTCCCAAAGAACTTTGGCAGACTTCCATGGGACTATTTATAACTGGTTGAGACTCATTACGGGCTGTGAATGATGATAATTCACAGCCATTGAACTAAAATAAAAGGGTTTTAGATTTAACGTGTGTTTGTTGGTGTGTCAGGAAGTCTTGGTCAGAACAATAAACTCAACATTCAGGAGGGTTTGGCTGATTTGAACATTATGCCCTATCCAACAAAATGTAATTCAGTGGTGAGAAAATAAGATCCTACATATAGGCAAGAAAAACCAAATGCAGAAATATACTGTAGAATGGTTCAATAGTAGCAACTGTGAGAGGGATCTAGGTGTCCTAGTAGGCCACCACTTAAGTACAAGCCAGCGGTGTGCTGCAGCTGCCCAAACAACTAATGCATCAACAGAGGGATAGTTTCAAGATCACATGAAGTATACTGGACCCTAGAAAGAATGCAGAGAAGAGCAACACAGTTGATAACGGGTCCTGAGACTAAACCTACAATGAACGAAGGAAGTCAAATATACACGTCTCAGGATAATGTTACAGGATCCAATCTGAGCTGGTCACCAGGACCAGGGGTTTAATCTTCTGAACTTTCGGACTCGAGCTGAAGCCCAAACTCATTCTCTCTACCAGAATGTGTATTAGTATTCATTAAACAGCACATTCAGAGCTGTGGCTTGTGGCCTTCCATTACTTGATTTACTGTGTCCTTAAATTCTGTTTTTCCTGTTACAGCATATCCGTCTTGCTATACAATTGTGGTTGTGGTCTATGTGCAGCAAACTGTTACAGTAAATTTAAGGTTTTTATATCAGAATACGGGAAGCATAGTGCTGGAGATACGCTGAAGGACAAAAGTACTGATGAGTTTCTGGTATAATCTTCATCTGAAAAGAAGAAACACCAAATATAAAACAATCCCTCCAACCAGCAACCAACCCACAAAAAGAGATCTGGGAAGAATAAACAGACAAATAAACTGCTTCCATTACTGTAACTTCATCAGATTTAATAGAATTGTCCCATCTTAAAAGTCTTGGGAAAAATATCTGGTCTTTGTTTTGAGGAATATACAGTAGTAAAAATACTGATATCGATGGAAGCGATATCAAGAAACACTGAGGTTCATGCAAAGAAGAGCTATGGCTTCCGTCTACAAGTAAACATAACTCACTCAGTGTCAGACCTGCCTCAACTTGAGTCTCTAAGAAAGAACAATCCTCAACTCCATTTATTGAGAAAAGATATCGTATATTAGGGGTCAAATGAAGCACAATTAAGACAAAGCCAAAACTGAAATCCCCAAGTGTAACTTTCCCCATTTCTTCCTCATAGGTTCTTCCCCTTGCTTGCCCCCATTGTCCAGTCAAATTCAAAGAACATGTTTTTGGAAAGGTCACTAGATTTGGTATGCAGCCATGTTCCGTTCTCAGCCATTTGACCTTGAAGCCTTTCGTTTCCCTTGAAGCCTCCTCCCTTTTATCTAGCCTCCCATGAGTTCATGGTAGCCGATACTGAATGACTGGAAAGTGCAAGCATGAGGTGGAAGCTGACGCTTAGGTTCGGTATCTAAATTATATTTGGAATGTCAAAAAAATAGAGAGAGTAAGAGCCAAAAGGCTTTAACCAAAGACAACCCCATTAAGAAAATAAAAGCCAACAGCTCCTTTGCTATTTTCACCTGTTTTGTTCTCACTAGGAACTGGTTTCTATTTCATCCATGGGCAACATTTTGGAAATACTTGAATGCCTGCAGTAGCTGAAAGACTGAGAACTAGTGTACTTCTGTGGAGAGCCAAGGAAAAGACAATGATGGAGGAGATCAAATAACCCATTATGGAGTTTGTGCTCATCTTTCTGAGCTTACTTTTACAATATCCCTTTTTGATTGCCTATGCAGTGAGTATTCTTCCAGTGTAACATGGTCTGATGTAACAGGAAGCTAGTGCAAGAGAACTTTGAAGTCCGGTAAGCTTATTTCCTCTTATTGTTAATGACGGTCTTGGGGTAACTTTTTCTCAGCGAGATTCCTAGTGAAATTATCTCTATGTTGTTATGGAGTAAGCATGCTGTTTCTTTTGTTTTATCACAGAGCAATAGTTGGGACGGAGGACAGAGCTCACACAGAATCCCACTAGAAGACCTTTTATTTATTTGATATCTGTAAAATGTGTTTTTCTGGGCCCGGATGAGGGATACGATACCAATGGTAGAATCCTAGAACAGGCAGTAGATACCAGTGGCACAGAACAGACAAAAACCTGGGGGAAACATAGATGCATATTGGCCCTTAAGAAACATAGTTTCTCCCATGGGAGACTTATTCAGATTCAGTGCATCTTGCACATATTTCGGTTGTACAATTTGTCCCCCTTGAGGATTTTGCTTGGTGACATTACGAGGTGCTGAGAAAAGAGAAGGATGCAGGGACTGAGTGATTTATACAGATCTGCAGAGCAACCATAATGGGAAGTAGATAAGCTTGCCAAGTGCTGTGCATTCGCCACTGAGAGTAACAAGTGCATGGCTATTGGGTAGAGGCTGTATATCTTTTTGTTTATTGTTTTCAGTTTACTAGGTGGTGTATCTTAAAAAGCTGTTGCTAGCTAGGGAGAACAGTAGAAGAAACACCCTTCAGTCTCTGCATTTGAAAGCTTTGTACATCTATCTCCACTGGTCATTTTGAAGGATTCTAGGATTAAATGATCAACTGGACTGATCAGGTAAGGCTCAAAATGTCGTGTTTGGGATTGAGCTGTAAAGATATGGTATGTCAAAATGAGGCAGGAAACAAATATGCCAACTCTGTAAACTGTTTAGAGGCGGCTGAAGGGCACTATGAAGCAGCATAAAAGTCTAAGTGCTATTGCTATTCAGTTTTTCTCATTCATTTAAACATGCACAGTTTTACATTAGTTGTTACTCTATGTCAGTGTCATTTTCTCAAGCTCATTGCTATATGGATACCATTAGTGTAGCACTTTACCCAGCTGGGAATGCAAAACTAGATTATTCTTTCAATAAAACCCTGTGTTTAACAATAATCTTAGATCATCAAGTCCTGATGCCACTAAACCTGAATAGGTCTTTGTTCTTGAATGTACATTCTCACTTAGGCAGCTTATCAAATAGGAACCAGCTAACAAAATACTTCGATAACATCTAATCTTCTTTAAAGAAAATGGTGATATCTTGGCTTGTAACAAGAAAACTAACTGAAAAACAGTTGAGCTACTATTCAGGTTTAGTGGCATCAGGACTTAATGATCTAAGATTATTGTTAAACACAGGGTTTTATTGAGAGAATAATCTAGTTTTGCATTCCCAGCTGGGTAAAGTGCTACACTAATGGTATCCGTATAGCAATGAGCTTGAGAAAATGACACTGACATAGAGTAACAACTAATGTAAAACTGTGCATGTTTAAAGGTTAGAAAACTACTACTGCCAGGCAGGTTTCTTCAAATCTTTTTGAACTGCTTCACATGAATTACAATCTGCTTCTCTCTTCTGAAAATCTACAATTTTCAAGACTTCTTTTTCAGATTCTGATTATTTAAAAAATGTACATAAATGTTTTCTCTTAAATATGCATGATTTTTAAAATATTTTATATACATACAGACATTACCCTAAATCACATCATCAAGCCTATGAAAGGAATCTAAATAAATTCCTAACTAAAGCCACAACATTTTTCCTTATGATGGATGGATGGAAGGAAGGAAGGAAGAGAGGAAGGAAGGGAGGGAGGGAGGTAAAGGAGAAAGAAAAAAAGAAAACAAAAAAGAAAGATGGAGAGAGCGAGAACAGGAAGAAAGTCAGAGCCTCTCACTCATACTGTAGAAATAACAGTTCAACGGATTATGTATCATGAAGTTGTGCTTGACTGGTAGTAACCACAGATGTTCTTTTATGATAATTTGTCCCAAATCTGGTCTTTCAGATCTTCCAATGGTGCACACTCGCCACCTCTGAAACTAAGTCCACTCACCTTTCTGCTTTTTTGTCTTGTTCTTCTCTCTCTTTTCATCTTTCCCAGCATTTATTTGCTTTCTTGACAGTCCACATTCTCCAACACAAAAGTTCATCAATATTCTTCCCATCCTAATTTTTCAAAGTCCAACTTTGAATTCCAAAGACTAACACAGGGAATACCACAATTTGCATGATTCTGCTCTTTGTAGACCTCCATGGAAATATACCTAAAATTCCTAAATATTATCCTGTTACAATTGCCAGTGCAAATCACCAGAATGTCAGTAAATGGAATTTGCTTTAAAAAGTTTGGGAATCTAGGAAGAGCATATTATCAGAAGCATACTTCAGAAATTCTACTCAAGTATTTTAATTTATCTTTTTCTGGAGTGAAAAAAAAAAAAACAATTTTTATGAGTCAGGTTTCTTTTCCTTTTTGATTTTTTATAATCAGAACTGGAGCTTCATAGATTGGTGGTTGTTTTGAAATAAAACTAAAATATGTTGCAATAATGCTACACAAATCAGATCTCTTATTACTCTGCCTACAAGAAATCAAACGAAAACATAACGGTTTTAGATAAGAGTTGGCCAACATTCATTTGTACTTTGCATAAGAGGGAGGAGGGAGCTTACTTTCCAATTCTCTGTTCTGAAATATACCAGGTTTTGTAATCTCACAGTTACTGAAACTTTCTAAAAAGGAATAAGGCCATGTCAGAAAGAAGACAGAAACATTTTGAAAAATGGGTGAAGTTAATGATCAGTTGTGATAGTTCTCTATCAAATCTAATGATGTTATTCACATTATTCATATCTATTATATACTGTACTTAATACATAAATATACTGTATTAAGTACAGTATAATTACAATTGAAACTTGTAAAAGTTTCATTACTTATTATCCCTGGTAAGCCAAGCACTTAGCAGTGCATAATTGTTCTTGGTTTTATGTTTGCCATTCTGTGCTGTTATTATTGTTATACAAATTACGCAATTGTTGATACTTTTATATTGAAAAATGAAAGATTGTTTAATGCGATGGCCAATTATTTTGCCAAGCAAAATCCTTTTCATTTTGGCTGAAGTTCATTCATCAGCTTTGAAAGGCAGTCTCTATGTGACTCCTTATCAACAAAGGTTCATCGTGTTTGCAAGCTGCAGACAATTCCATCAAAAATGCTGCCAGAGTGTCCTTAAATGGAAGCTTATCTGTAGTTTGCTCCAATACAAGTAGTTTTTGACTTATAACTGGTTGTTTAACAACTAACAGCTGCGGTGGCGCAGTGGTTACAATGCAGCATTGTAGGACAACTCACTGCCGACTGCCAGCAGTTCGATCCTGATCTGCTCAAAATTGACTCAGCCTTCCACCCTTCTGAGGATGGTAAAATGAGGAGCCAGATTGTTGGAGGCAATATGCTGACTCTGTAAACCACTTAGGAGAGGGCTGTAAAGTACTATGAAGTGATATATAAGTCTAAGTGCTTGGCTTCACTGGTTGCCAAGTGCCTCACAGTTTCGTGATTGCCATTTTCAATCTTCTCTGCTCCTCAGAAAGTTAATGAGGAAGCTGGCAGGGAAGGTTGCAAGCTGCTGCTGCTGCCTGCCAAAAAGGACTCCCTCTCTGGGGCCTATCTGAAAGAGGAAAGGGAAAATGGACAGGGTGCAGAAACAGAGCAGAGTTTGCAAAGATTCGGGCACCATACCCACTGCCTGATGGAGAAGTTTCCTTCCACACAAGGACGGATCAGGCAAGAAGGAAGTGATTTGCTGTGTCCAGGACTTCCATTTAGGAATCACCATAATATGTTCCATGGGAAGTCTATCGGGCTGGGGAAGGATTGGGAAACTGGCTTTTGGGGAAACCTGGTTTTCCAGGTTTAAAAATGTCTTTGCCATCAAAGAAATGTCTAAAAAAGCAATTTTCGAACTCAAATAGTCCAAAGGTACTTTTCCAAGAGGCTGAAGCTTCTTGGATGAGAAGCGAAGCATCTTTGAAGAAAAATCAGAAAGTCCAGTTGCCTCTTGAACAAAGCACCTTTGGCACAACCATGACCTGGGTGACGGAGAATCTCCATAGGCATTTGGAACTCAAATGTTACCTAATGTGACAGCAAGATGCAGGAGCAATCCAACCAAATTAATTCATTAAAAAAATGCATTGAAACCAGGTTGCCTCCGACAAAAGCTACAAGTTGTAAAATAGTTTGGATTGTGTAAAACTAGTATATTAAAATTGCATGTAGCACACAGGCAGTTAACTGCCCATTTTCAGCAAAACAAAACAGCATTTCATGAATGAAGGCAAATTATATGTGTCCCAGGATAATGTTGCAATCTGGGTCAGTCATCGGGACCTGAGATTAATTCAACGTTCTTCCACATTTACTACTGTAAATTACCATGAAACTTGTCCTTCTTTTGACCAGTTATAGAATGTAGGATCCAATCTGGGTTGGTTACCAGGACCAGAGGTTTTAGTCTTCTGAGCTTTTGGACTCATGCTGGACATCATCCTCAGGGAACTTCTCTCACCAGAATGTGAGAAAGAAGTTACCAGAGGATAGGAGCCATCATTTAGTCAAAGGTAAAATAATCTTCTTATTTGGGGATATAATGCTTCTTCTTTTACTTCTCGAGGGATGCCAGCATTTTCCAAAATGGCACACAAGCGAAGTTCAATGGGGAAACCAGATTCTCTTGGCAACTAATGTTACTAATTTAACAACTGCAATGATTCACTTAACACATGTGGCAAGAAAAGTCGTAATATGGGACAAACTCACTTAACAAATGTTTCACTGAGCAACATGAACTTTCAGGCTCAGTTGTGATCATTAAGTGATAGCAATTCTGGCACTCTCAGCTGCCCCTGATAAATGAGGACCTCGTGTGGCTGCAACGTCTGACTTCCTCTCAGGTTCCGCCTCTTGACTTTGCTATTGACCTCACCCCTTTCCTAAGAGGTCTGTAGGGGACGTGCATAAGCGCACCAACGTGCCTACCGTCCCTGTCCTATTGTTTCTCTTATTCTTTTATTTTTCTTATATGTACCCATTTCATGTATTCACAACTATGTATACACTTATACTTATTATCTTGTAAACAATTGGCAAATCAAATAAATAAAATAAAATAAATAAAGCTGGCATAGAATCATGATTTAGGGCTCGCTGCAAGCCAGATGCTGAGCGCCTGGATTGCAATCGTTGGGATGTTGCAATGGCCAGACTTCTGAGGACTGGTTAGAACTCATTCAGTGCCATTGTAAGCTTGAACTGTTGCTGAACAAGTGATTGAGGACAGTCTGTAAATGATTCAGAGGGCAGAGTCTGTAATCAAAAAGACAAATGTCCTGGTTCCTGAAAGATGGCATTCTTTAATTGACAGGACTCCCTTTACTAGATCTAATAAGATGAGTAGGGCTTTATAGATCAATGGTGCTCAAAAAATTGGGTGCCGGTTTCGTGGAGAGGTTTTTCCGTGGACCAGAGGGGGCGTGGTTTCATCTGTAGCCTGCATCCCACGGATGGGGCTTCCCTTGTTTGCACGACCCGTTTCTGGCATGCGGGGCTGTGGGTTGAGGAACCTTGTAATAAATGACAACCTTAAATTGCACTTGGAAATCTGCTAGGAAGCAGAGCAGCTTGTAAAATAAAGGTATAACATGGGCAAATCGGGAATTGGTCATAATTATACGAATTTTTTCGCAGCTAAAAAGTGAAAAGATAATACAAGACTATTTCCCTGCACAATGTCTCCTATTCGCTACTAAAAGCCTAAAGACTGAAATAAGCCTATTTATAATCAACAGCACAGTACTATCTACAAATCTTGTTTTCCCAAAGCTGGTTTGCTTCCTTAAAAGGTCATCAGAATGACAGTGCAGGAAAAAAATCCAGGAAAAAAAATCAGGTTTTAATATTATTATTTGAATTGTTATTTTTGCTGGATGTCCACACAAGGAACCTAAGTGGTTAAAGAAATTCATCACAAAATACTCACATTTCATGTTAACAATTAACTTCTTTCATGTGACTGAAACCACTTTATAAAATGGACAAGCTTAAAGGCTGAACTTGCCTGAAGGGCAATGGATCCTAAGAACACATTTCTTAAGTTTGGCTCCAAACCATCTCTCTTTCCAATACTGGGTGAGTGTAAACTTTCTGAATTTTTAAGAATTCTTTTAAAATTTGAACCAGCTGTAACATTACTAGAAGTTATACGGTATGGTCATTTACTTTGGCAATAAGCCCCACTGAACTCAAAAGAACTTACGGCTGATAATTGCACTCAAAACCGGTATATATTCAGATTCAATCATTCTCTACTTAATTGTAGTCCAAAACATTTTGCTGAGTATAAGTGCTTTCAAAGTGTTCCTACTTAGAAAAAATATATTAAATAGAAGAAATGTGTTCAACCAAATTATAATTTTACTGTCTACAATCTATATCTTTGAGAAGAACGGCTGGTCTGTAAATTCCTCTCCTTTTAAGCTCTTCAAAATAAGGAACTCCTCTAAGTTGATAGATCAAATGTTTTAAATACAATTTTTATGATAATTTATATTGAGAGTGATTGAAAGTGTGTGGACCCTTCCCAACAACTAAATGGTTAACCTTCCTAAAGGTCTTGGCTCCTAATTTCAATTTTTATGACAGGGAGATTTAAATAATAAGCAAACGTATATTATATTGGTGGTCATCACTTCTGTTGAAGAACTTGGCAATTCTTATATATCTTTTGTATCAAATAATTTTCTTTACACCAATGATTTCTTTTAAACAATATAAACATTTTCATTTGCTCCAGAATTCACTAATTCAGCTCAACAATTATAGAACAGTGAAAGTATTGTTGCTTGTAACACCGGTCTCACAATCAAATTCTGTTTGGAAAATTGTTCACTGTACACAAAGAAGCTCCTTGACTCTCAACTGGGCCATCTTTTTGTATGTTCTACAATATGTGTTAAATCTCAATTTACATATTTTATACAAAGTATTATGCATATATAATGGTAATACTCAATCCAAAACTGATTATGTACCTTATAAGGAAACTATAAATATATAGTTATGATGATTTTTTTCCTATTAAGTTATTATCAATTCATGGACTTGCTCTGTATTGCATTTTCAGATTTTTTTTTTATTTAATCCAGTACTGTTTGTCCTGATTAGCAAAAGCTTTCCAAAATCCTCCTGAAAAATTATGTAACAGTATTGTTTATCTGATACCCTAAGAAGCGGTGGATGCAGTCTGTGATTTTCTGCATAAATCCATGCTTCACCATTGACCTTTTAAAAGTATTTTTTTAAAAAATATTTATTTGCATCCCACTTTTATTATTTTTACAAATCACTCAAGGCAACATACAGATCTAACACCTTCCACCTCGTATTTTCCTACAATAGCAGTCCTGTAAGGTGGGTTGGGCTGAGAGAGTGACTGGCCCAAAGTCACCCAGCTGGCTTTTATGGCTAAGGTAGGACTTTTTCTCCTTAGATGCAATTCCTTAATGCAATCCCTGATAGTTAAGACTGAAGGAAATTAGCACTTTGTTGGATTAAATAAAAGGTTGCTTCTCTGAGAAATCCTGTCAGCTGTTGGACTGTGCCGATTTAATGCAAAATTATGGCAGGCAATTTGTTTGGATGAAGCTTTTAAAATGCTCAGTTCTTTATCCATTGTCCACATATCAATTTGTCCATATGAATAGATGCAGGAAACATATCTCATTCTGGCATATATTGAAGGATGCCTTAGTTGACATCCTTCCTAAAGGATGGGCTTTAAACTCAACCATCATCCCAGTCAAGGCCACGTTGGCTGTGAATAATGAATATTTAGGACCAATACAGCTGGAAAACACTAGCTATTCAAACACAATTAGATCTTCTAGCACATCTTTCTGCAAAAGAATTAATCTTTTTGTTTTTAAAACACCTCTCACCCCCCCACCACACACACAGTGGCTTATTATCAACAATTGTTGGGCAGAAAAGAGGTTATGAAACTAAATAGTAAGCAGAGAAATCCCAGGATTAACCACTAGAATCAGACAAAACTAGTTGGGCCTTCATCAAATTAAAAAAAAAAAAAAGACTCAGCAAGTGCTCCTCTATTACATACAACGTTGGCATTCCATACATTGCAGGGATATCTGAAAAGCCCAGGAGGATTTTCAACCAACACAGCATACAACGTGTCCACTTCAAACCCAAGAATGCACTAAGGCAGAAGTTTGTCTATCCCAAGGATATAACACCCAGACAAAAACCGAGCAGTGTGATACAGGCAATACAATGCAGTGAGAAGACATGTGCAGATCTGGTCATTGGCGAAACAAAACTACTTCTATTTCACAAGCATGTGGCACAATATAGGAGATCAAACCCATCAGGACAAGATTCAGCGGTCCATCTCCATTTGAAAGACAAAGGTCACCCTTTTGAAGGCAGCAAAGTCCACATTTTGGATAGAGAGGACCATTGGTTTGAAAGGGAGGCAAAAGAATCCATCTATGTTAGGATTGAGCAACCCTCCCTCAACCGAGGGAAAGGAATAAGACACCATCTATCTCCAGTCTACAACAAAGCCCTTGCAGCAATTCCAAGAAGATTCCACAACCAGCTGCATTCTGATTCAGGTGACCCTGAGGGTACGGATAAAACCGCAACTGGGCTCAGTAGCTCTCAGAGAGAGTGCTAATGACCAGATGACTGCAAAGAAATACAATCCTTCCATCTCTCCTGCCCCACCATCCAGTCTCAACTGTCAGTACCTATCCTTCCATTTCCACACCATCAGAACTGCTGAAGCTTCTTGGATAAGAAGCAAAATGTTTTCTTTCTTCTTCCTCAGGGAAAAAAAATACTCGGGGGGCTTTTTGGGGGGGGGGGGGGGGGGGGGGGGAGCACCTTTGAGACAACTATGAGCTGGATGACTGAGAATCTCCAAAGACATTGGTTGGGCAGTTAAGACTACTGAATTATTGTTATGACGAAAATCCCTAAAAACAGAGCTCCATTGCTATTACAGTTTATTATAATTGAACCCCACTCTTATATTATTGGATAGACAAGATATCCTATGTAGTTATTAAGTTTTGACCAATCATTTTCCTCCTTCTCTGTTTGAATATTGTATAAAAGGCTAAGTTGACAAGCAGTGAACGTACATCTTTATTGCTGCAGTAACAAACAAGTTGGCTTGGATTTCTCTTGTCCTGCATGTAATTTGGAGCCCCTCATGATGGATCCTCCTAGTTATACTAGTTTTATGGCCAACACATAAAACTTCAAGAATATTATTTATTTTATTTATTAAATTTGTTTGTCACCCATGTCACCAAGAGGTGACTCTGCCTTAACGTAACATTGCCTTAAAAACTAGGCAAACCTTCTGCAATTTACTTTTGGGGCTATTACTAATGGAATACTAATAAAGGTGTTCTCATTTCCACTTCTAAAATGGTGAAGACTGTCCAGTATTATTGATTGGCAAAACTCCAGGGATGTAATTCATTTAACAACCGCAGTGATCGCTAAATAGCACACCCCAAAAAAGTAATAAAACCACCACCTTAACAATCATCCTGCTTAGGTGCAAAAAATGATAGCCGTAAATTGAGGATTACCTATAAATGTTTTCCTTGGCCTTAAGCCATTTGTCAGGGATGGTGTAGGGTCTCCTGCTTGGGCGGAGGGTTGAGCTGGACTAGATGACCTACAAGGTCCCTTCCAACTCTGTTAATCTATCTATCTAGTCTGTGCCCCACCAAACTGTGTCCTTAATTGCATTGATTATTCTCTCTCTCTACATTACCTGCTTTATTTTCTATTTTTAGCTTTTCATTAAAAAAAAACACCTGTCCCCTTTAAGCTACCAAACTGATGAAGGGTTGGTAGTCATACAGAGGATTTACAAAGGCATGTGGGGAAAAAAAATAAGACATTAATTCACATTTCTGAGTTGTACAGATTCCTTAATGATGAAAGTGCACAGTACATATTCAAGAGGTTCCACATAGCTTGGAGGATATTCGCTCAGGAGCTGTGACACATCTTAATAGAAGCCTGGCACTCTGACAAATCAGCCATCAACAGACACATAGACATTAGCAACATCTACAGACGATGCAAGAGAGACTATCACCTAGCCCAAAAAGTAACAAAAAGACCCAAACACCTCTCCACCAGCAATCAGCACCCAGATCAGCATAGATGAACTCCAAGGTTAACATCAGACCAACAACCAAGTAAACAAAACTGCCAAAGAAGCCAACAGCGAACAACCCAAACAAAGAATCTCCAAGACCGTCCCCACCAACACTGACAGGCAAGAGACCGGAATATAAACCAACAGCAAACTGCACTCCTTACTAGCACTGATGATGTTACCTTGTTAGGGTAATGAAACGTCTGCAAAAAAGCAAGCAAGCTCAGAGAGAACCAAAGACCCTTCATGTCAACCCTGAACTACAAATATTCTCCTTTACTGGTACATCTTAACAATTCAAACTGTTTCTCTTCACTCTTTAAAACTAAAGATTATAAATGGGCGTGAAGCACAGCATTTGCTGTCCCTTTCATGCTCTTATCTCCCCAGTGACAGGCAATGACATCAACTGGCAATGAGGTGGATTGCAGTCCTCCTACAGAGATATTTTTTTAAATTATTCGCTGTCACAGAGCCATTTCCAGTAATTCTTCCTCACCCCCCACTCTCCCACCCCCCTTTCAGTTCCTAACCCTCATTACAGTGTAAACAACGTCCATTATATTAATCTATTCTTGGCTGTGTTAGTCATTTTGCACCAGGCGGCATTTCAAGAGTGTGATTCTGCTTTCCTGAGAAATGTCTGCATTCACCTTCCAAATGTTGCGTCCTCCCCCACCCCCCCTTTTTTTCCGTCTTCACATGACCGAAAGGCTGGTGAGAGAGCAGAGCGTTTGCTGATTCAATGGATACTTACAGCTTGTCCTATTAAGAAGATGCTGTGTTGATGTTTACATACTAAGCCTAACTCCTATGAGCCTCCAGGCAAGCATAATTCTATTGGGAACTGATTTTCCTGATGTTTTTTCTTCGACCTACAGAAGCAGCAACGCCAAAGAACGCCGTGGCTGAATAAAAAAAAAAGGGGATCAGGCTAAGCAGCAGAATGAGTGCAACCTTCATCTAGCCCTCCAGCACTGCGAACTCGGGAACAGGAAATTTTTCCGACTTGAAAGCCCAGGTCTTAGCAGTAAGGACAATGAACCACATTCTGTATATTACTGTAGTATTAATATTATTATTTTTATTACTGTACTTGTCAAATGGGAGCATGTTGTTCTTGACATGCAAGGTTGAAAAAGGTGATTTTGACTACAATGAAGCTTTGAGATTTAGGAGCGTGTGGGGTGGGCAGGCAGACACATCAATGCATGCACAAAATCATTAAGACAGGTAGATTATAAGATGTTTTTGCTACTATATGTCACATCATGAGATTAAAAAAATCATTCCAGTTAAGAAGATAAGGACATGCATATAATGATTTAGACATCATATGCGAGCATAATCAACAGGGCGGTTGAATGTTTGTTATAGCAGGAAAAATCAATACAAGATAATTGTTGGTTTGAATCTCAGTATTTCAACAAGCTGTCCCTTTCCTTGCCTCTTTTTCCCCTCCTAGGGTTGCATACACTTAGCATCTAAGAATTCAAGGATGAAGACTTTATTCCTGAACGCTAAAGAAACATACTGCTATACTGAGGCACTTCTAATATTTCAACAAAGCCACACTTGTGGAAAAACATATTCAGAAAGGTAAAAATATGCAACCGTATTCCTCCACCCCCTAAAACTGTTCAGAAAGCCTCTTTAAACAGCAGTGCAAGGCAACGCAGTGTTGCTAAGGTCGCAATTCCTTCCAAGCAGAATAAATATGAACTGCATTCAAGACCACTTCCTATTTTATACGATGCGCTTGAAAACAAAACTAATTCAGGCAATTCAAGGAAAAACAAAACAACTTATGGTTTAGATTTCATTATAATGATGATGGTAAAAACTTCAGTCTTTTCTGATGTCTCCCCATAAAATCAACAGTAAAAAACATATTAGATCCAATTCTGGTTATGCTTCAAATATATTTTTGAAATCCATAACAAGGTTTCTATCTAATCCAAAAGATTATCAACTAGCTGTATGAAAGATCAGTTTATCTCTATTCATGTCAGTGAAAGAGAGAACGATCCCATGATCAAAACCACAAGAGGTAAAAGCAGATTAACTGTTAAAGCAGAGTTAAGCCAGTCTTCAAGAACACCTGCATTTGTAATATGAAACCTTTAATACCAATGAAGTATTTTTTTTTCTTTCAAATTGAATGAAGCATCACTGAACTTCATTTAAATTAAATGATTAAAATGCTGTTTCCCCCCCTAACCTTTCCTAGGTAGAACAGTTTCAGGGAACTGTGGCCAGAAGAAAACTCCAGAGAACATTTGGAGCTCCAGAAAACACCTGGAAAGCCAAAGATGAACCTACTTGAGATAGCAAAATCAGGGTTTCTAGTTTGCATTGTGGTTTGCATTTTCATCTTTGGTGTTTTCTATCTACGGAATACAATCTTCAAGGCAGATAAGGAAAAACTCATCCCAAAAGATTGTGGCTTTTATCCAGATGAACTCTGCTCAGCCCTTTTTGATGGGAAAGAAGTTGCTTTTCAAATTGGCCAGCTGTGCCAGGAGGCTTTAGGGGGAAAAGAAATGTCTACCTGCATACAAATACAGTGCAACTGTTCTACGCTGCAGAAGAAACTCCACTTCATCACAAGGCCACTGTCAGAAGAAGAAAGGAACTTTTCTTTGGCATACATCGTCACCATTCACAAGGAACTGGACATGTTTATAAAATTACTTAGAGCCATTTACATGCCTCAGAATGTTTACTGTATACATATTGATGAGAAATCATCAAAGGATTTTAAGCAAGCTGTCCAAACCTTGGTCAACTGCTTTGAAAACATTTTTATTGCTTCAAAGAGGGAAAAAGTTGTCTATGCAGGATTTTCCAGGTTGCAAGCAGATATCAACTGCATGAAGGACTTGATCCATTTAAATAATCAATGGAATTATGTTATTAATCTCTGCGGTCAGGATTATCCCATCAAAACAAACAAGGAACTTATACACTATATTAAAAGTAAATGGAATGGTAAAAATATCACCCCGGGAATTGTTCAACCCCCTCATATAAAACACAGAACTGATTTTAGTTATCAAGAATGTGTACTTTCAGGAAAATCATATGTCTATCAAACCAAAAATGTGAAAAGTGAACCACCCCACAATTTGACTATATATTTTGGGACTGCGTACTATGTACTCACAAGAAAATTTGTAGAGTTTACACTGACTGATGAACGTGCAAAAGATTTGCTTGAATGGTCAAGGGACACCTACAGTCCAGACGAACATTACTGGGTCACCCTGAATCATATACCAGGTAAGCAGAATTATAGAATTGTCTACTGTGCATTGTTCAACAAAGATTGCATATCAGACAAGCCATAATTCTTTGCATCCCCCTTTCAGAAATATTTCTTTACCAGATTCTCAAGGCCTTCAACAATGATACTCTAATGTACTCCCTTCACTGGAAAACTGGGATATATTCAGATGTGCATTTGCTGAAAAACTAGACCATGCACTATATAGCAACGTTCATCATCAGCAGAGAAAATGTTTTATGGCATTTTTGTATTTATTACATTACAGATGAACAGAGTTGGAAGGGACTTTGTAGGTCATCTAGTCCAACCCTCACCCAAGTAGCAGACCCTACACTAGTGGTTCCCAAAGTAGGTGGTACTGCCCCCTAGGGGGCGGTGGGATGCCTTGGGGGGCGCTAAGAGGCAAGGGGGCCAGCAGGGGGGCCGCTAAGAGGAAGCAAGGGGGCGCTGGAGGTGGGCCCTTCACAGGGCACAATTCAGGGGTGAGAAAAAATCCCCCTGCCGCCACATTCGAGGCGAGGTTCCACAGGATCACACCACTGACTTGCATGCTCTGGTGCAAAGGGCTCAATGGAGTAAGCCTGCGGGGCCTGCCACCTCCATGTTCGGGGCGAGGTCCCGCAGGTCCACCCCATTGAGCCCCTTGCACCAGAGGCACCTGCCCAAGCAAGTCCGAAGGGAGCGGTGCACGAAGTCAACGGGGTGAGCCTGAGAGAGGGAAACAGAGAGGAAAGAGAGAGAGTGAGAAAGAGAGAAGGAAGAAGAAAAAGAGAAAAGGGAAAGAAAAAGGGGGGGATGGAAGGAAGGGACAGAAAGAAAAAGAAATAAAGAAGGAGGGAGGGAGGGAGGAGAAAGATAATGAAATATCTATTCTAGTCCAATGACCTGCTGCAGCAGAGTTAGAAGGGAGTGTGTGTTCTCCTTGTAATTTACCAATACATTTTGGTTTTACCTTCTTCAGAATTGGCACTGTAATACATTGGGGAAAAGTAATTTTTTAGGGTGGAAGTCTGGTCCAGTGGATCCTGTTTAAACCCTCAACAAAATGTGAGAGCTTCCTGATAGTCTTGGCCATGTTTCGTCCACAAAACCTTTAATTAATAGAAGCCAAAGATGTTTCAATGTGTTGGCAAAGATGCTGGCAAAGATGTTTCAGTGTGGAAAAGGGCCTCTAAACTAGGCCTCATTTCAATCTAATGCATCAGGTCTCTGTCTCTCTCTCTCCCTCTCTCCCCCTCCATCCCTCCCTCTTTCTTTGTCCCTTTTTCTTTCTTTCCCTTTTCTCTTTCTTTTCTTCCTTCTCTCTTTCTCTCTTTTCTCTCTCTTTCCCTCTCCCAGGCTCACCCCATTGATTTGGTGCACTGCTCCACTCAGACTTGCTTGGGCAGGTCCCTCCAGTGCAGCGGGCTCAATGGGGTGGACCTGCGGGGCTGGCACCTAGAACGCAGCAGTTCCGGCATGTTTGAAAAGTAGAGCAAAGCCAGAGGTCGGTAATTTTTGCTACAAAGAATCTCAAAAGCTTCTGGGCTGTGCACAAGAAGGGACACACATGTCAGTGCAATTCAGCAACATAAAATAAAGAAATACAAATAAAACAAATCAACAAGAATTGGCAAAGCATCGTTGATAACTATTCACTACTAGAATCTAATCAGAGATGCTTTGCCGATTCTAGTCCAATGACCTGCTCCAGCAGGGTAGGAACGGAGTGTGTGTATATGTGCGTGCATGGCTATCAAAACTCCAAAAACAGGTCAAGTAGTTCTGGGGAGGCCAGTCATAAATTAGAACACTTGCTAAGCAACAGGCCATTAAGTGAGGACCATTTGTATTTGGTTTGCCAGTCACCAAACCATGCCCACCCAGTCACGTAACCAGCAAGCCAGTCGTGTGACCAGCAAGCCACACCCACCCAGTCATGTTACCAGCAAACCACACCCTCAAATTAGATCACGCCCACAGAAATTTGAACCCCGCCCCTGAGTGACAGGCATTGAGGATGAGTTTGTAGCACCAAGGGGGCGGTGGACTGAAAAAGTTTGGGAACCACTGCTCTACACCATTTCTGACAAATGGCAGTCCAATCTCTTCTTGAAAGTCTCAAGTGATGGCGCTCCCACAACTTCCGAGGGCTAGCTGTTCCATTGGTTGATTGTTCTCATTGTCAGAAAGTTTCTCCTTATTTCCAGGTTAAATCTCTCCTTGTTCAGTTTCTATCCATTGTTCCTTGTCTGGCCTACAGGCGCTTTAGAAAATAGCTTGACCCCTTCCTCTCTGTGGCAGCCCCTCAATTTATGTCATATACATTTTAATACTTTTTATGTCGTAATTTTTTAAAATAAAATTTGCCAAATTTTGATTCTAACGGGAGTCATGGGTCTCAGATTTTGGACCAATTCTATAAGTTAGCCCATTTGAGGTACTTTAATTCAAAATTGTTGCCCTATGATGCATTGTTTTGCCCACTCAAAGATTACAGGAATGAGAGGTTTTAGTAATATATTGATAGATGTAATCTAAGGAGACTCTTTTGGAAACCATTAACCAAATTCCAAAATCTATTTTCAGTCTGCCTTTTAGACTTATAAAATAACAAATTCACATTACATCATGAATTGGAGGGCTTTTCCTTAACCTGTGAGCTAAGAGAAAGCGGGGGGGGGGGGGGGGTAAAGAAAAAAAACAACAATAAAACAAATTAAAATAAAAAAGAAAGTGAGATTTCACATTGTTTCAATCCCAATGGTTTAAATTATATAATCGTTTAAAAAATCAGAAGACACTAACAGCTTTCTTTCTTTAATTACCTATCCATGTAGTTCAATTTGTATGGCTACCCATCTTATCAAAGCTGTTCTACATGCCTCACAAGAAACAAATGCATAAGTTAAATGATGTTAAAACACGAGAAGAAATCCTGTAAGAACAGCAGAGATAAAAAATAAAGTTCACAACCACCTGGGCTGCATCTTACTTCCTGAATCCTAGTCCTAGGAAAGTTTTTCAGTCTTTGAAGGTGAAATACAACCCATTTGGTTATTGATATACTTGCTATCAACCATGACGTTATATGTTCCAGACTTTTCTTGGCAAATAATACATTCCCACCGAGTTTCACCCACATTTGGCAGTTTGAGAAACATATGATCTGTCACCCAAATATCATGTTGACATATCTAAAAATTAAACAGGTTCTGCAGTGGTGAGATTCAAAATTTTTACTACCAGTTCTGTGGGCGTGGCTTGGTGGCTGTGGCTTGGCTTGGTGGCCGTGGTAGGGGAAGGTTACTGCAAAATCCCCATTCCCTCCTCACCCCGCTAACCTGCTTTCCAGCTCTGTTCTCCTGTGCAGGGCAACAAAAGAAGACCCAGCCAATCAGCTGGGACTTGGGAGGCAAAAAATAGATGGAGGCGGGGCCAGTCAGAAGTGGTATTTGCCAGTTCTCCAAACTACTCAAAATTTCTGCGACCGCTTCAGAACCTGCTGAATACCACCTCTGAGGTTCTGACCAGGTTCTGACCAGTTGCGACTCAGAAGCATACAGTAAGCGGTACTTGTTTTAGAATGAGAGAACTTGCTCCAGGTGTGGTTCTGTAGACTGAGTTTGGGAAAGTGGGATGGAAATCCTCCCGTATCTGCAGTTAGGTCTAGGATTTTTCATCTCCTACCCTTGGCCGTGCCTGCTTCTCCGCCAGCGTTCCTCCTTGGGCGATTCTCCTCTGACTTTTGTCCTCAGCTGACACGCCCCTACCCATTTGCGAGCAGTGGGTTTCCAAAAAAATTTCCTACCAGTTCGGTGTGAGCGGGCGCTTTGCGAGTAGTTGCAGCTCTTAAGTGAGTCAAACAGTCGCTAAGTGGATCTGGCTTCCCCGAATCTCCATTGCACAGCGAAACAGCTGTTCAGTGCGTTTTCACCCACTTTACGACGAGTAGTAGTGGGTGAAAGTAGTGGGTGAAACGGAGACTCGGGGAAGACAGATCCACTTAGCGACTGTGTGACTCAATTAAAAGAGCTGCAACTACTTACTTAACAACGGTGGCAAGACCGGTCGTAAAATGGGTGAAAGTTCACTCAACAGCTGTCTCGCTTTGCAATGGAGATTCGGGAAGCCAGATCCACTTAGCGACTGTGTGACTGACTTAGCGACCGTTCAAGTTACAACAGCACTGGCAAAAGGACTTATGACTGTTTTTCACATTTAATGACCATTGCAGCATCCCCGTGGTCAGATGACCCAAATTCAGACGCTCGGCAACTGACTCATTCTTATGATGGCCTGTGTCCCAGAGTCATGCGATTCCCCTTTGTGACCTGACCAACGAAGTCCATGGGGAAGCCGGATTCACTTAACAACCATGTGACTTACTTAAGAGCTGCAACTACTCACTTAACAATGCTCTTGCTTAGCAACCAAAATTTTGGGTTCAATTGTGGTCGTAAGTTGAGGACTATCTTTGCCTTCCTCTGCATGGCAGCCTTGCCTAGTAAACTCCTTCCCTTTTCTGGGAATTTTTCCTCTTGTGTTAGAGGCACTAAAATAACCAAGATGATATAAGGTCTCCTGCTGCAGCAGGGAGTTGTACTAGATGACCTCCGAGGTCCCTTCCAGCCCTGGATTGCTGTGCTGTTTCAAAGCATCCTCTGAAGCTGCGTCTAGTGCCAGGGTTTGTGGTCCTTCCTCCCTCTCCTTTTTCTCTCCCTCCCTCCCTTAGTCCGTCCGTCCGTCCGTCCATCTATATCTCATTCACTTTCCCTACCCTTCCCTCTTCCTCCCTTCCCTCTCTTTCGTTTTCTTTCTTTCTCCCTTCCCACCCTCTTTCTTTTTTCTTTCTCTTTCTTTCTTGTCTCCCTTCCCTCTCTT